TGCTACGACTGTGAACTGGGTCTCTGATCTGCTGTACTTCCTTTAACCACGTCCATGTCGACCGAGAAATGAAACCAAATGAACTCACACCGGAGAAGAACCACGACCAGATTGAGGAGCTCATTTGTAATGGCGAGCACACCAACCAAACCTCCTGTGCATCATATGAAATTCAAGCAATTAAAGCACATGGTGGAAAGCCGATGGGATGCACACCGCCACAAACACTTTGGTCCTGGTCCTGGTCGCTTTGGGATGGACAGGAACCATATCCTCCAATTCCTCGCCGAGAAGGAGAGCACATGGTACCTGGTGTCCTCCAGCATCTAAACTCGGGAATGTCCGACTGACCGACTGACCTGAAGTAGTCTAAGTAAGATCTATAAGAAACTGCAGAAACGAAACAACCACTTGCTTTCATGACACAAGGTATTAGGCGCCATTCCTCGTGCACATCCTGCTTCCCCGGGTTTTCAAAACCCCCAGGGCCAAAAGAAGTGAGAAGCTGCGCCCGAAAAGCTGTGCGGTGTCAAGCTTTACCGAGGGTCAGGTGGGCACAGCTGGGAAGTCAAAGGGCTCAGTTCTGCCTGAGGGATCCAAGTACCTTCTCAGAAGGTGATGTGTTCGACACTGTTGTGTAGGTTCGGTACGACTGGATCCCTAGGGCTGGATTCTGACGCGCGTGGACCTCTGTGGCACTCACACGTCGCCCACGTCGAGTGAAAACCCCACTCTCCCATTTCCCCCCCAACTGTACGACCTGAGTTCTCCAAACGACGCAGCGGGTCGCCCCTCATTCAAAGTGAGTGATGCGACGGGCTCTGTACATGTGCTCAGGTTAGGCCGAAGGTTTCATTTTGGTGCCTAGAGCATCCTGGGACCTGAGTGACCTGTATTTTGGACCGCCAACACCCCAAATAGGGTCGTCTTTAAAGCAGAGGTCAAAAAGGTTGTAGATACACAGAATCCAATACAATCAAACCACAGAATCCAATTCAGGTCGGGGGACGTGATTCAAAGGCCAGTTGCCAAGTTTACCGCAAACATACGCTAGTCATACTATATACTATATATTATACTATAGCAAAATGTATCCTTTCATAGCCTTTCCTTTTTGGGGGCTGTCAACCAATGTCTGACACAAACATCTCCGCCACAAAAACGATTGCAGCTGATACAAGCTTGACCATCAAAACCATTCAAAAACCACTCTCCTGGTCGATGAAGCTCAAAAGGCATTCAGAATGCAACTGATCCCAAGATCTGCACCTGTGGCACTGCCTGGAAAGTCTCATTTCTCACGTGTGCAGAGACAAGAGGAGCAACACAACTCCAACATACTCCAACATACAGCAGTTCTTCTTGCCAGTCAAAGAACGCAGTCTTAGAACGAACGAATCCATCGTCTCGTCTGTCTAATCTGACAAAGACTCTCAGTCACGTCGCTGAAACAATTCAGCCAAACCATGAGCGACAGGTTCTTCGGACTTCGATGAAGGCTGTTCAGCGGCGATTCCTCGGGGACGTTCCGCCACCGGAGGTTCGTAGCCAGTGGGGGAGGAACCTTCCCTTCGTTTGGGAGGGACCGGGAGGGACATGGATGGAAGAACATGGAACCCAAGGGATGGATGAGATGAAGATCTGGGTTCCTCTCCAAGTCAGCCCAGGCGTTATTTTTTCAGTGAAAACCAGCGCCTCCTGGACCTCACCCATGTCATGGGGTTGGAATTCCACGGAGCCTAAAAACGCCAGTTGCAACTGCACCCATTGAAGAAAGGCATTCCAAGATACCCAAAACTCTCTATGGGGTTGAAAGCAGCAGTAGCAACCAAGACTGTGCCCGCACTGAGCCACGTCTCTCTCAGAAATCGACGTGAGCTCACCTTCCTTGAAAGATCCTCAAGACTTCATCAAGACTTCATATACAATCATGATGTTTTTGCCTACATCATCCACCCCGTTTCGACCACCCCGGTTGAAGATTACAATAGGTCTCTGGGTCAAGACCATGAATGTACCTCCCCTGGTTGTTCCACTGTGGGGACCATCGATTCTTCTCCCTTCCCGCCAGCCCAAGACCAGACCGTAGCGGTGTGCAAGCGGACGAACCAACCAAGTCATATATATCGAGTCACATCGGGCTGTGAGCAACGTGGAAGGTCTTTGTAAATTGTAGGTTTTGGTGTGAAAACCCCATGGCGCCACACCGCCCCACACCTAGGAACCATGAAAATACCAGAAGCAAACCACGAACAAGGCTCGTGGATGAAGCAAGGCACTTTCGAGGGAAGAGATGGAACGGAACAGCCCCCAGCCGCCACCAACAAACACCTGCCTCCCTGGCTTTGCTTTCAGGTGGGTGCTTGCAGGATCCACCATTTTTCTGATTTGTCCATCTGTTTTTTTGTCATACTTTTGCGGCAATGGAGGGTGACTTGAATCGAACGAAACATAGAGTATACTATACCCTAGGGCTCCAAGTACCTCCTCGGAAGGTATTTGGAGCCTCTAAACCCACCCCAAACACCTTCTTAGAAGGTACTTGGAGCCCTAGGGATATATTAGTATTTCTCCCGTACAGAGCCCGTACTTAACCGTTAGAAGAACCCCATACGGAACCTGCATTTTCGATGTTCCCCCAAAAACATTGTGTTTTGCGCAACCAGATTTAACATAATATCTTAATATTATAAATTTATATAATCCGTACGGAACCTGTACTAACCCATACGAACCCGTACTTCTTTTTTGCCTCCCTGCCCACCAAATGCAGATTCTGAGTTTTTAGGCTCATAGCTGCACTTTGAAGGCTCACTTTCCATCCGGGTGAACACCATATTCTTCACAAGGTCGACATTTAGTGATCATGTGTCCGAAATTCAGGTGCGTGCCGTGGGATTCCACGGCAAACATGTTGGAAAACAGCGCCGTTTCCCCCCAAAAAATAATGGTGCTTTCTTCATGGATATCAATCTAGTTTCCCTAGGTGTGTGTATATACCCAAACACTCCATGTATGCCATATATGCCTACATTGGGGTGGTTTGGGGGGTCAATGTAGGCATATATGACATATATATATATATATATCCCAAATGTCCAAACATTCACCGGCAAATGGATCAATCAACGCCATGACCCCACATCACCGAGGAAAAATCAGGTCGGTCAAAGGGAAGAATGTCGTTTCTACACGTCAGTTAGTGACATACACCCTTATACTGTATATACCCACTTAATCCGACTTATTAGTGGCCATTCTCATCACATGAAAAGGCCTCACAGGTGGTTGTCACTTCCTGTTCCACACTGCATGTGCTCCCATCCCCAACTTGCCACCCAAGGCTCCGTAAGGGGGTTCTGTGCAACTCGCCGATGTGATGGGGCGAGTTCCTTGAAATGCCGCTCTTCCTCTAGGTTTCGCTATCAAGCGACGTGACGGGGAGGGGTGAACGGGAACTTCCGAGCAAAAGCTCTTCAGCTCCGATGGCTCTTTCGCCATCTGCGATCTTTTGCGCCTCTTGCGCAGAAACCCCAACTGAAACATCTGCTCATCCTTCTGCAATCTGATACTCGCCGTTCACCCCTCCCGGTCGTGACACAATCGCCGACGGAGAAAGCGCTTCTCTTCGCATCCGTTCGGCGGGCTTCTCTCGGGGGGCTTCGGTCGCTTGGGCGAGCCAGCTCTGTTTCAGAGAGCTGGCATCGCGAGCCAGAAGGCGCTAGTCATGCCAATCTCAGATCAGGGCCTAAACGAACTTGTTGAACATTGTTTTTTGACATGTGAAAGAAGGACAACGCGCTGGACCAACGGTAGTGTTGGATAGTATATTGGACGACACTTGGAATATCTTGGAATTTAAATGTTGCCTCGAACTCCTACTGTAGGAAGAATGCTGGGTACCCTGCATTTCGCATGTACTGGCTGTGCTTTATGACAAACTGGAAATGACCCTGAGCAAGGTGAATCTTGCAGGCGGGCGGATAGCACTGTGTGGGGTTCACAATCAATATTCAACTCGGGAGGCTTGGAGGATGTGCTCTGTGTGCTGTTAAAAAAGGCCCAGGCACGTTTTGAAGGTTTGATTAAGAACTTTGCCAGGCAAATACTTTGCCTGGGATGTTGAACAAGGGTTTCACGATGTCCAAAGGATGTTCTTGGGGAGAGACATATGTTCAAAATTTCTAATTGTCACTCTGGAAGCCATGACCTCCTAGTGGTGGACACCAATGAGCCATGACCTCCCACCCGTGAGAAGGCATTTGACACCCATGAGCCAGCGAGAGAAGAGTGATCGAGGGAGAGCTTGCAACAGGATCCTCTTCCTGCATTCCTCTGACAACATGTCTATACATGTTAGTGTTATGTAGCTGCGACGACTCAAGGAACCCTTTGTAATGAATATTGATCATATGTATACTATATACATAATTGTATATATTGATGTTTTCGGTTGTCCTTTCTATTGCATGTTGGTCACTCAACACATGACAACCGCATAAACCTCTCTCTTCCAATTGCCTGAACAGAATCTCCTTCAACCATGAGTTTCGTCTTTGTTGGCAAACAACAACGCTTGTGTTGACGTGTCAAGGAACGTAGTGTTTCCTCTGCTGTATTGGACAAAGCCCACACTATCTTTCCAAGAACATTGGTTGGGTCAGCTCGACCGTAAAGGCTTGCTAACAGCAGCTTTGAAACCTGGCCAGAGCAACAGCCACCTACACCTTCAGTGACGGAACAGTATCCTTGCGGCGTGGTTTGCATGTACATGTTCAAAGGTGGATCTTCTGAAACGAACGAATACCTAGGGTTTTGTACTGTCGAAGGAGTCTTTGAATTTGTAGTGACACATATCAATATTAGTGCCTCAACATGCCTCAACCATATCTACAATGAATATTGACTCGCAGTTTTCATGTGTTCATTGGGTACAAATTTGGGAGCCACCAAGCTGCCTTGGAGGCCCGGCTATTGTATCCAAAAAGGTGCTAAATTTGTGAGGATCGCACACTTCCAACAGATCGATGATAGCTCTCCAACTCATCTCACACGTCACGCATCTCACGACCTTGGGGATGGTGGAGACTGTTTTTGGTGTCGACAATGTTTCATGCCAATAAACAATCAGACCGAGTGGAACAATTCGACAAAGGTGGCATTAGGGCATAGTAGAAAGTACGTATGGAAACATTTTGTTGCCAAGAATGTGAATGGAAGAAAACCTTGCAAAAGGCTTTACACAATGCAACAACGAAATCAGTTATATACGCAGTTCGGCTATTTCGTATTGCTTTCCTGTAGACCTACCGCACGTTCTGGATCAAATTCCTAAGTTGGAAATCCCTTTCAAATCAAATTCAGCTAGACCGAAGGATATGGCGACTAACCAATCAGGGAGCCTCCTTCCTGGGTCAACACCTGGGTAAACACCAGGGTCGCCGGAGAAAATCCAAGATCTGAATCCAAAACTAGGATGGTTAGGACGATAAAACCAAGATGGACAAGAGTAAAACTGATGCAAACCACCTTCCATCTACCCACCCGAGACAGGACTTGAGATTCGAGATACCTTGAACGTTCTTCCAACAGGTGCTGATGTTTTTCTGCGTCCAACATCCAAAGACGGGAAGCGGGAGATTAGGTCATTTCGGACGGATCAAATATCGTTACAGACCCTGCAGTACCAGGTACCCCGTACGTCTATACATACACTGAGTCTATTTTTTTACACATGCAGCACATGCAATATGTGCAGCCATTCATCAAGAGAGCACACTTATCGTGATTCGGAATTCTGGTGGCAAGCTTGTTTGTTTCTGTTGTTCTTCATTTGGGAAAACGTAGATATATAACAATAATGTATAACTATATATATAAGTTAATATTATGATTATATATATATATATATAGGTGAGCAAACAGTTCACAACTGTCCAGCCTTTCAAACAAGCATTTCGATCAAAGATTGAACAACAATAGTGCCATGAAAATACTCCACCAGGGCCCCACTATAGGTACTACATGGTAATACTATAGATATATTCTATACACAGAGTAAGAAGTAATCTTCATACACCGTTCACGCTTGGCTTGGGAGAATGTGTATGTTGCATATGTTCATTCCAGGTGCTTCATTCATGATATGAAGATATATGATCATGATATAGGATGCAGATTTTGTACAAGCTCTAAATCCACAACACATCCTCCTTCCCCCAAGTGGTTTGGTGGTTTGATGTGAGCAAACCCATTACCTACTGGCTGTCCGACTCAGCATACACGTGATCTAAACAACTCGAATCCTCCGAGCACCTGGAAAAACCCTTCACATCCCTTCATTCTCTCTTCTCACTGCCAGGCACACAGATTTCGTGAGGCAAAAGATGGGCGGAGGATGTGCCGCGGCGTTTGCACGGCCAAGCCTGGTGAGGCGACGTTGGAGGTCAAGCAGCGAGACTGGGTCCCAGGCCCCCTGAAGGTTGGCCATCATGTGGCACATCATTTGCACACCTTTTTGCACAACAATACACACCAAACACCTTTTCATGAGGACATATATGAGGACAACATAGGACAACACCCCACATGGGGAGCCTCTGCCGTCATTGTTTTGTTCCTGTTGGCTTCGACCCAAAGGCTTTTACAAATTGATCCATTTGGCTGGGCTGCTTAGACTTTGTTGGAAGGACTTCTTTGTTTCAAATGGTTGACTTGGTCGACCCCAACAAGCCCCCAGCCCATAAACCACTCGCACGTACCACCCTAAAGCTGCTGAAGTCTATTTAGTTCACTTCTGTCGTAATCAAACGTGATTCTCCATCCATCCTGAGAAGAATCATGAAAACAGTAACACACATGACCAAAAAAATAGCCAAGTAATGTTGGATGCTGATTAGTAAACCGGTCCTCAATAATGCTAATTTTTTCCAAAATTATTCTAGACCCCATGTTTGAAAAAGTGGTCCTGAATAATGCTAACCTTTTTGGGGACCCTAATTTTTTATATTGGACACCTAATTAATAAGGGTTGGAATCTTCCTTTACTTAGCTCCTGAGGCCAATGATTATGATTGATTAGCTGATATAGGTTTCTCTAGGTTTCTTCAAAACTGACAGCTTTCCAAAACCACCAATTCCTAATTAAACACTTTATAAAACATTGCTCCTAAACAAATTTTCAAGGTAGTAGACCAGGAAGGCACCTGCCCTAATCAATGAAAGGAAAATTAATACTACAATCAATTACAAAAAGGAATCCTCACAGAAATCCAGATTTGTTTTGGTGGTAGTTTATTATAGAGGGTCCCCCATTTGTTTGAGGGAGGGGGGGGTCCCCTTTTACTAATCAGGATCCAACATTACAGTATATGCGGTCTCCACAACTATCCAAAACTTCTACCAGCAAAATGAATCAAATGGAAAAAACACTGAACCAACCGTAAACTAAACTTTTGAGAAAGAACAATCATCCACTCAAAAGCTTCATCTTCAAATCACGCCGCAGCGGTTTTCAAGAAAACCATCGGCAGAACCCATCGATGTCGGAAGAACCCATCTGAGTCGGTGTCGCTTGCGGGACGCGATGGTGCGCCGATGTCTCGAAGGGTCCGAAGGGTGCGGATTCGAAGGGTCGAATCCAATGGTGGAGGAAACCTACTCGCCTTCAAACTAACATGGAAGTGGAAAACAACTGTGTGTAGAAGAACATGTCTTCCAAAGGGCCATGCCGTGCCATCCACTTTCATGCTAGTTCCAGGGAGTGTACCCCTGTTGAGTCTGTTGAGTGTTGGGCAGTTGGGCATGAACGGATTTATCATCCAGCTCCATGTTGGGGGTGCTATCCATGGAGGAAGGGATAGGGGTGCCCGACCGTCACATCTACTCACATGCAATGCGGTCCAAAAGCCATCCCCAACTCCATGGCATCGCTGGATGATCGATCTCGAATATGCTCAACATCCAACATCCCCAACTGGCTCGCCACAAGTTTCACCAACAACTGCAGTTTTCTGCTATAGATTACACAAGCCTCCACCAGCCTCAGCATCAACAAAAATGGACCACTGCAACTCGAGTCCATTTGGACTCTGCTTTAAAGTCCAAGCCTTCCTGCTTAAGGTGTTTTGTGTGGGTGGCTGAGCATTCATCTACTGGTACTGTAGCTATCGAATATTCCAAAAGGCCTAGAACCAATCATCTTCTGAAAATAAGCTAGTGCACCTCATGTAGGCTCTTGATTCTATGCTTCAACTCACAGGAGAGGTTTTACAATGGCATGGGCCGTTCAAACCTGAACAACGAAGCAGTCCACCAGTTCCTGGAAAGAGTGGACACGCGACTGGACACGGTCTCTGTATCCTGGTGCCATGACCCATCCTATGATCAAGGAGTTAGGTGAATCCAAAAACAGAAAACTAGGGTATACGGTATACGGATGTATACGGTATACATGGGTATACGAGGTGTTTTTTCCTAGGGTCTTGGCTACCAGTAGCACCGAAAACTCGGCCAGATGCGCCCCCACTGGTAGCGCGCCGCGCCGAAGCGGTGCGACCGCCCCAGGGAGCTGATGAAGCGAGGCCCCAGCGTTGCGACCGCCCCGGGTCACCCGAACCCAATCAGAGGCAATGGCGTCCCTTCGATCCTCACCGGTCGGCGAGGAGAGCGGACATGGGATGACCGGGGTGGTGGACTAGTCTAGACTAGGGTGTTCAATCACGGCAAGTGCTTGCAGCTGGACATGAACAACTTGTCATGTTGGTGACCAGGGTGTGTGAGTTGGTGTAAAACGCTTGAGGGTCCGTTCCACTGACGTTCGGATGAGATATGACTCCATGCGGACTTTGGACGTACAAAGCAGAACAGGATTCCTGTTTCTGGGTAGCACCTGGCACGTACCGTTCTCACCCATGTGGTTCTTCGGTTCTCACCCAGGTGGTGCCTGGTACGTACCGTTCGCCCTTCATCAAAGGTGGCTCTCGGCGATGGAAAAGGTCGCTCTGACGTTGGGTACTTGTAGATTGACTTTCCATGTCACCTAAGGCCTTGAAACGGCACGGCCTGCTCAGACGGCGCCCACCCCATGGGTTTTGTGATGTGTTCCACACCAATGCACCTTTTCGTCGTCTACTGACACATGATGGCATATGTTGCTTCGTGCGCCTGGATTACAGGGGGGACGAGGGAGACCGATGAACGCCCATTGGAGAGCTCCCTCGTCGTCCTCACTTCAGACGTCGGAGGTTCTTCGATGCGGCAAACGACATCGGACCAGACTTTGGACCAAACGACGAAACAACAGGAGCTGGCTTTTGGAAAGGCAAGCAGTTGGCAGGATCTAAGGCTAAGATAGGCTATAATTAATTACGGGGAAGAAAAAAGGTATACTGATGTATACTGGGGAATGTGCACATTACAGCTTACAAGTTTAAGGAATCAACTGCACAACAGCCATCCCAAGATCTGCTGCCCAGGGTGCTCTTGCACGAGTAGTCGGAATCGCGTCGCGGCTGCGGCACTCATCCCAAGTTTCCTCAGATGCGAATTGTCTGTTTGGTGCGATCGGCGCGGACAGTATCCATGGAGGACCAGTTTGTAGAGCAATGTTCGGAGCACTTTTGGTTGACCCACTCGGCTTCCTCCGAATCACAAAATCAGCACACAGAAGAAGCAGGGCCCAGCAGGGTCACATCGTTAAAAACTGTAGGCCAATATCGGGACCAGGGATGTCCAAACAAAGCAATCCACCCTGCTAGGGCTTAGAGCTGATATGATGAAACCCAAAGGACGCCAAAGGACCAAAGAACATATGCATGCGGTACAATCAATATAAAACTACATATCATTCAGGATCGGAACACGCGTGTCGTCATCTGGCCAAAGCAGGAGGTTTATTTGCGCACCATGTGTGATGTTCACCTTGGTGGTTTCTCTCTTGCTCTATGGGGAAAACATGCAGCAGGGCTAATTCAATTCGGTCAAAGGGGAAGGGAAGAAATTAACTGTCACCTAAACCACCCAAATATATGAGAAGGCTCTATCTCGGTGATCAATACCGGGTCACGCTGCAAACAAGATGAGCAAATCAAACACCCAGGCTGCAAAGGTAATCAAAATGCCTGCATCCAGAGAGATAGGTTTCTGCTCCCTTTACTAGGTTTAAACTACCACCGAAAGCGTATAATGAGGTTTCTATCATACGGCAATTGGAACCATTGACTTTGCACGATCCATTTGTCCTGCCTGACTGAGAACCACTCAGCAAAAAACAATAGATAGATATGGGTGTGTGTGTGTTAAAATAGGGAGACCTCCCAGGCAACGACCTCCCTGGAAGGTTCGGATTTGACCAGTCTACTCAGCCAGGGCCAGGGGGTCTGCCTACTAAAATACACGTATTACTGCACCGGGCAAGGAGGACAAGGATTATTCAGCGTATTCAGCGACCAGTGGCATGTTGATGGCGTCGAACCTCTTCTGCACCTCTGCGTCCTTGGCAGGCGCAAGCTATCTCACATTGGAACTACAGACCCGTGATATGCCTGTTTCTCACTATGGGAATAAGTTCTCAGACTTACCTGCATGGTCAAGATCTTCCAGCCGATCCTGGTTGCATCAAAAACTATCATGTGGTGAAACTGTATGCCAGGCGAAAGTGGCTCCAAACGAAACAACCCCCAAGCTCCAACAAGCTGTATTGTGTGCTTGGCCAGCAAAAATGTATGTTTGTTGGATCCAAACTTTAAACCAAAGTGAATCCTTCGAGGTTTCTATCCATAACGAAACTCAATTGGTGGACGCAAACTTATATACTACTTTGATATATAAAATGTTCAACCAACCCTACAATGTGTATATAGGGCCTGGTGCGGGACCCGGCACCGTTTCCCAATCCTAAAACTGTTGTCGATGGTATTTTCATCACCCTGTTGCATCACGTTGCATGGAGGTTACCTCCTTCTTCAGTCCTAGGCTTTGCTTTGAGGCCATTTACTAGATTAAGCTTCTACGAAAAATTCCCAAAGTATATGCCCAAGCCATTGTTCAGTACACAAGCACTGAAAGAAACGGATGTATAGGAGCTGATTCTCCCCTACCTATTCTGTACCACGGGTTGGTTCCTATTTCATCTTATTTCCATTTAAAAACTGCTTCACCACCTCAACAATTTTGAGGACTTCGTGGAACCGCTTTGGATCTTCTACCTAAGGAGCCAAGACTCTTTCAGGTATGGTGCGCAATGGCAAATCATCTCACGGACTCCTGGACCAACGCTTCTCGATCGGAACAAAAACCATCGGATTCGGTTTGAGTTCGACCGGATTCGGTTTGAGGAGACACCAGAGACTTTGAGAAGAAAGCTTGGTCGAAGAGGGCTTTGGATTCGTCAATGGAGTATCAAGTGTTTTATAGCCAGGGGCCCCACCTGACCTGTCCTGCTTTAGGGCAAACATATAGTTTATATATTTGTTCCCTGTACTGGAGAAAAACTCCGTTTCAGTTCCCAGACTTTGCGCTTTATAGGGCTTCCACTAGCTACTGAGACTGTTGGAGTACAAATTGGGGTACAAGTGCCATGAAAACAGATCTCTCTCATGAAATACCACCTTCAGATGATATTGTGTCAGGAAAAAGAAACAACAAACAAACAAACAAAGGCGCGCTTGAAAGGATGTCACGCTTGCCTGCGCCGCGCTGAGCGAATACGCCGCTCCGACCCGCATGATGGGTAGTGACACAAGCATCCAGCCAAGGTAAAGGTGCCACGGAAGGAAGAGTCTGAAAAATATGAAATCAAGTCATGATAATGTTGACTTAGCGATCAAAGAAATCAGTGATGGGGTGCCATCCAACCTAATTATGCACTCTTATCAGCAACATGGACCTGTCCACCTGGCCTGTGCACTTGTCCCTGTCCGGTCAGTCTCTGGAACCTGGGCCTTTTGCCGACATCAGAACATTTGCTTCGATTTGCGGTCGAAGCCGGGGAAGAACAAGACAACACGTCACACGTCCATGATTGATTCCCATGCGGGATTTACCCAGTTCCGGAGCATCAAGATAAAACTCCTCCAGCAAAACTAGGCTTGGTGGAGCCCAGATCAGTTCCAACCCCGGCCACTCACCCGGCCATGATCAATGAGTAGTGACATGTGGTGACGATGAGAGCAGTCCAAACAGCGGTCCGCGGTCCCAGTTCCAACCCCGACCGACCGTGACGTGGCCGTCTTCTTTCGCTGTCCTTTTCGGTTTCCTTCAAAGCCGTAGGAGGGTAAGACATCCTGGTGTTCGTGCAAAACGAACAACACATCAATGGTGAGCCAGCTGATGTTCTGGGAGCCAGCTGATAGCCCATCTTAATGTCTTGAAGGAAGCGATTTGATAAAACACACCGTCCAAAGGATCTTGTAATTGTGAAATGATGTCCGTATGATACTCATAAAAGCCGTACCATCCCCTCAACAAAATTCTATGAGTAGTAGATAGATCACTTCATCTGTTTGAGAAAAGTCAACTTCATCTGGATCGCCAAGCCACCTATTTCAGTTCAGCTCCAGCTTCGGGCCTCCACCCTGTTTGTATACCCCAAAGGTCCTCCAAGTTTTGAGAAAAACAGGGAGGGTCTCCCAGCATCCTCCCAGCCACACTGCTGGTTACCAGTGACCCATGTTTTGGGCTTCGAGACCTCCCCGAATGACCGTGGCGAGTTCTGCCAAGGCACCACCTGTACGTCCAGGGCGAGTTCTTGGCGCCCCGGGAGGTGATAATAGCCTTCTGGATCCTCACTCACCCAAGGCTCCATGACACCTGCCAAGGACGGACGGAGCCTGTCCAAACCCGTCAGACTTCACCCTGTCCTTTGGGGTCATAATTGGTTCAGCGAGGCCATCGAGGTGTTTGCATCAATCTTCCCCTTCCGTTGGGGGTTGGGGAGATTTGCTGGATCGCTTCCGACCTTTCCGACGCGCAGGAGCTGACCAGGACCTGACCAGGACCCCAAAAACAGATCTGACCGACCGAGCGAAGCAGTTCCTTCACACGTCGAGACGGCTGTGACTCCTTCGATTTGGCTTCTATATGCGACATTCGAAGTCTAAGCAGCATTCGATGTGGCAGGGAACTGCGTGAGAGTGTCACAAGATCCTCCCTGCTGGGTGTTCTCGACCTGACCCCCAAAAAGGGATGTCGAGGATCCCATGCTCAAAAGAGCCACTGATCCACCTGAATTCAGTCGAGTGGTGTGTCAATTTCACCCTCTCCGTCCTCAGCCCGAGCTGTGCATCCGTTGAAAATCCACCCCAACCAACGTCGACTCCACCTTGACATCGAGGGCAAAGCTCTGGGCAAAGCTCTGACCAATGTCTCTTTGTGATGCTGCCATCTGCTCAGCTGCTGAGCATCTATCCGATAGAGTCTATATCCTGTCAATTTGTTGGTTTTCCTTCGCCTGCTGGCTGCCTGGCAATATTCATAGAGGCGAAGACCGCCAAAAGGAACAGAACTCCAGCCGCTCCACCTCTTCCGTCAACTCTGCAACGCGACGATGTAAACACTTGACGAATCTGAACGACCACAACATTTATAGTTTATGGTCGCATTTCGTTGTCTGCTGCCGTGTCCTGTGTTTGACATGATAGAAATATGAGAACATGATAGAACATGCATGTGTAACTCTGAACCCATTTTGGTGAACGGCTGAAAACAAATAAAACCATGAGGATGTTAACCACAGCATCTCGCAAGAAGGATCCATCAACGTTTGTTCTTCTCGGAGTGTTTGAGTGTTTTGACCCAATCTCGTCGCATTCTGCCTCTTCCGTGGTGAATCCCGTCCTCCTCCTCTGATCCCCCCCTGATTGTCTCCGTCCCGGTGGTCCCCCTTCGCCTCGATTCAAGACGCGGCCTGCTCGATGATCCGCCTTCGACGGGATCAAGTCTGTAGAATTTTACGGTATGTCTGAATGCCCCAATCCAGACCGTCCATGTATGGAATAGTTACCTACATTGGAGTCAGAAATGGTGTAAATGTACATGGATGGTCCCGGAAAAAACCTTCCAGCCCAGCAACCTATTCGTTTGAGGAGAGAATGGGTAGTGTGCTAGTGCTAGTGACTAGCTGCTAGTGTTCCATGTCAGTGAGTCCATGATTTGTTTTGCAAAAGCCGGAAGCTTGGAAAACAATATGTGCATAATAATATCCCCTGCCGAATTACCGGTGTACCTTGAGAGTTGATTTTATACTAATAAAACAAACAACCCGGTTCCGAGGGCAGTTTGCCCACATCAACCTCCTGCAGTGCTGGAAACCGGTTCTCTATAAAATCAAGTGCCTCAGGGTGTGGGTGTTCATGATCATGAAAACATGGTAGCAACAAATTGGAAAATCAATAATGCGTAGCCAAGGTTGGTTTTGATTCTTTTGAGACGTCTGGGGGTATGAAGGTTGAACTTGATTTCGTAAAAATGTTGGACAAAAGTGGCCCAAGAGGTTGGGGTCATATGAAGGTTGAAATTGACTTTATGTTTTACAAATATGGCCCAAGAGGTTGGTTTCTATTTTATAGAGAAGTGTGGGGACATATGAAGGTTGAAACTGTTTTTTGTAAAATTGTTGAAAGTGACCCAAGAGGTTGTTTTTATTTTATAGAGACATGTTTGGATACAGATGTTGGCCCATGTTTTTTGCGCCATCTCTATACAATCAAATGTTGGCACCCAACATTTGATAACAAACTGACTTGGCCTGGGCCTCCATGGTCAGATTGGTGGTGGTTTTTCAGATTGGTCATTTTGGGCGAAAGACGCTCCCAGATTCTAGAGGAAGATTCTAGAGGAAGATGTTGTTTGCGGTGTCGTTTTCGGCTTAAAGGAGAGTTCCCCATTAGCCGTCCCAAACAATCCCAGGGGGGGGTCGACCCCCCCC